TTTATTTTTTATTTTTTTATTTTTTTATTTTTTTATTTGGCCCTATCACTCATGGAAAGGGGGCCTAAGTTTTTTCTTTTTATTTGACTCATGGTAAGGGGCCTAATTTTTTTTTTTTTTTTTAACCTATAACTAATGGGCCCAAAAATTTTGAGGCCCTCTAAATGTTGAGGCCCTAGGAGACCGCCTTGGTCGCCTTGGGCCAGGGCCGGCCCTGCTGCATTTGCATATCTCTTGAATTTATTGCTGTGCTTCTATAAGAATTCAGAAATTGATTTCTACAAAATCTAGAAGAAATTTCACTTCAAGTTTTTGAATATCAACAAGAATCGATGATTGAAGTACCTAGGATTTTTATTTTATTAATTTGTTCGTATTTTCTTCTTTGAGAGTTTTTATTTTGTTGAATATTTCCTTCAAAGTTATTGTTTTTGTTAAATTTTCCGTTGTTACTTTCTTAATATTTATTTTTGTTCATCTATTTTTGGAGAGTTTTTATTTTGGAAGACATGGCACGTGAAGTCAGTGAAGTATCGATTTAGACCAAATAGCGATAATTCTTCCTTATTTTGAACAGTTAATTTTCAGGTCGTAATAGAATAACTTTAGTGCCAAACTCATCTGAGATACTTTAAAATAAAATAATATTTTTTGAATATCTATATAATATTTTTTGCCATGATCTTGGACTGAATAATTGGTAGATAAAAAATTGACTAGTATACCCTCATTGTTAGAACCATAATCCTTGCTAAGTTCTCTTCTGTTGGAATTTTTGCACACTTAAAAAGTAAAAAAAGGGACTCATATTTTGGGTTGTTTTACTCATTTATTTTAATATATACAACACATGTAAGTGAGGACTTTGTCAGAGTATGTGTATGTTGACATTAAACAAAGTGTTAAGCTGTGTTTTGTAAAAGACCATTGACAAAAACTCTGCCCATCTAGAACATGTGACCACATCATCAACTGTGGACTAATTTATTAACCTTGTGATTTTGGTGTGACCCAAGGAATCTGCAGAGAAGGGCAGGTGTTAGTTTGACAATATAGTGTGTATTGGACAAAATTGGCTGCTATTTTCCAACTATTCCAATTGCCTTTTTGACTTTATCAAACCTTTTTTTTTAAAATTTTTTTAACTCATCGGTCAAAATATATATATATATTCGGTTTTATGCTGGAAGGTTGTTCACTCTATGTGAAAATGATTGTTTTTGCATGTGTGGGAAATGCAGAGAGAGATTTGAGTAAGGAGTTTGTGAATTTTGCCGAGATATAGGCGGGGCGGATCCGGTGTATGCCCACCCCACTGTATGTTTTGCCTACTATATATGATAATTTTTTCGTATTATATATAATACAAAAAAATTATCATATGTATAATACAAAAAAATTATCATATGTATAGTAGGCAAAACATACGGTGGGGTGGGCATACACCGGCTCCGCCCTGCCTATATCTCGACAAAATTCACAAACTCCCATATATATATATAATCCTCTCCTAAAATTACTAGTTTTTAAAATTATCTCTTAATTTTTTTAATTTTTTCTTAATTTACTCTTCAAAAAAAAAAGTTAAATTTTAATTTGTCATTTTTCTTACTTTTATTTTTTCATTTTTCTTATTTTTTTTCCTTTCTACTCATTTAAATATATATTTTTTTCTTAACACCGTGCCCCCTAAACTAAAATCCAGGCTCTGCCCCTTGATACTGGCCTATATTTCCTTTTGATAAAATGAATTTGCAAAATATTTACAAATGTTGAAGCTCAACTAATAACTTCAGTTAACTTAAGGCACTGTTTGTTTGGATGTAAAATATTTTTATTTTTTGGTGTTTGGTTGTTGTAAAATATTTACGAATATATATATATATATATATATATATATTAAAATCTAACAAAATTAATTTATCCATGAATTTTCGACAAGTTATTTTACACGCACTGCATGATGTACTCAACCTAAACCTTTGCCAAACATTGAAAAATAAAAAATAAAAACTGAAAAAGAAAAATATTTTACGTTGAAATAAATAGAACCTAAAAGTAGAAAAGAAGGCGCAAAATATTTCGGCTTGAATGGTACGTGTGGTTTGTGGGTAATTGCTTATATGATATATCAAAGTTTGTAAATCATTCTAGAGTCCAAAATAACTAGCTAATGGATTGATTTTTTGTTATTGATTAAAAAAAAAAAAAAAGGAAAAAACAATGGAATGAGGGGAAAAAAATGCAAATTTTTTAGATGCCTTACGCAATATCTTGATGATTATGGGTGGCCAAACTTAATTAATAAATAATTAAAAATAAAGAATCATTTTATGCACAAAACAATTTTTTTTTTTTTAGTTTTTTTTTTTATATATATTATTATTGATTCTTATTTGTCTAATGGCATGTATGACTATGTGTCACTAGTCGGTTTTTTATTAGTCAAAAACTTAAATTATTAAATGGAGTCAACGTCAAACCTTATATTCTCAAAGACCTTCCAATCTTGATTCATGTGGGACAAAAATCCATCACATAGTATGGAAGTAACCAAAAATATAAAATTTTTGTTTTCGGTTTTGGCCTCTTTTTTTAAAACACTTCGATATAATTTAAATCACAGTAAATTTAACCAAACGTGCTTTTTACTTTTGTTTCGTTACAAGCAAAAGTAAAAAATACTGTATATGTTAAAGACTGTAGTCCAGTTGTACCTTTTCTAGAAATGACACGAGTTTGAGTACTTTTAGGAGCAAATAGGTGCATGAATTTCTTGTCAACAAAAAAAAAAAAAAAAAAAAAGATTTGTCTTATTTTAATTTAGTACCAAGAGATTTTATTCGGATATTTTCAAATATGTTATTTTGAATGATGAGGTCCATAACGCAACAAAAATGATTATTGGCTTTAAATTGTGAAGACAAAAAAATTAATAATGATAACAAAATCACATATCCTCTCTAGTTAATAACTAAATTGACCGGACAATACTTGCCTATTTATCAGTGAGTAAAAATTTTATACTTACCACCCATGTGGCACGACAATAAAGTGATAAGTGTCCTCGTAGGAAATATTAAAATTTGGAATGATTGACAATTGGAGCTAAAGGAAAAGAAAGTTGTGGATGACCATGTGAGTGAGATACATGGATGGGAGCAAATAGAGGTGAAAAAAAATTAAATTTGTCGGGTTTAAACTTAAAAAATAAGTATAACCCATATTTTGTATTTTTTTTTAAGTTTAAAAGAGGTGTTAACCTCAATCTTTCCGGATGAAGTAAGACGGAAGCATTATCCAAATAAAAAATTAAAAAATTTGAAAAGTTATTTGGGTTAAACCCAATAAAATCTAAATTAAATCTTAATTTGATTATTTATCTTTATCATAAAATCTGAATCAACCCAAAAAAATTATGTAAAAATAATTGGATTAAGCTGTCTGATGATGGTGAGACTTAAGATTTCAACTATAAACCTAGTCACTACCGGCTAAAGTATTTGCATTACAAAAGGTTTATTAACATTATTCAAATAAATAAAAGAAAGTATTTAGTCACGATTTGATAAAAAAAAGTAAAATCTGTTTTCTTAAAAATTGATTAATTATAAGACAATCATAGATTCATATTTATTTTCACATGTGGGACAAAACACCATTAACAAGTGCAAGCATGTACCTTTACACAAACAATTTGGTTTCTTTTCTTTTCTTTTATTTTATTTTTCCTTGTTAATAAGAAGGCAACGGAGGGCTAAACAATATAAGTCACGCTTCAAAAGAACAAAATCAATATATATTAGTTCACACATGAAATCTTATCACTCACAATTGAAAATCCTAATCCAATTCCTTTCATAGATTTGATTTGAACAAGATACTTGTAGTTGAGTAGCATGGAAAAAAGATCATCAGATATGAGTTTGATTTGGATCTTACTGAAGTTAATCCAAATAAACTTATGAAATATTTTATTATTATTATTTTTAACATAATAAAACACTTGTCACTTTGTTATTACGCTACACTATATTAAACATAACTTATGAGTATTGTCCAAATTGACCTAGGCTCATCCAATCTAAGATAGACTTTTAAACATTAAATATACAAAAATATACCAAACAAGGATGCATAAAAAGTCACAACCTATGGAAAGACTTTAAACACCCAAAAAAAAAAATAATAATAATAATAATAATGCAATACACTTGTATAAATAATATACATTTCACAAATTATGCACAAGCACAAAAAAATAAAATCTATTAAGGTGGTTAATTTCTTTCTTGTGCTCTTCTTATCAATTTCAAAAAGAAATTTCTCGGTAATTATTTGTTCAGTAATAAATTTTGAAGTGCTCTAAAAAAAATGACACTACCAATGTCTACCCAAAAAATAAATAAATAAATAAAAATCTGTGTTTTAGTGTTACACTGCAGTGCTATCATACAGTTTCCGAATGAGGAGGGATTGAGACTTTTACATGTTCAGATATTTAAAGAATTGAAAATAATGTCAATTAGGAATGCAATCTCATTCCACAAATGAGAAAACTTGTAAAATCAATATATATATATATATAATCAATCAAAAAAATACGAGAGAATCAAAGCTGATATGATAGTTTTGATTTGATCATCCAATTCAACAGCTCACTGGTCAAACTAGCTACTTCCTCTGAATAAAATTTCAAAGATCAAAATGTTACTTAAAAAAAAAAACCAATAATGCGACATGTGTTCGTGTGATTATTTATTTAATTATTTATATGCAAGAAATTCAGGTCTCCATAACATATAAATGGCATGTTCGTGAATTCGTGCAAGACACCAGGCAATTAACTAATGTTCTCGTTTCCAAGGCCTTTTGAAAAGCCCAAACCCAAAACGCGGCGTTAGGTCCACCAAAGTTTACCAGGCGTCTTAACCATGGTTAAGCGCCAACCGCTCACCATAGTTGAGCTGTCTCCCCCACCCTTTTTAAGAACCTCACCCTTTCAATCTAGAGAGAGAAAGCATCAAACATAGAGGGAGAGAGAGAGAGAGTTTGAACAACAAAAACTGAACCCGCAACTGCAAAGTCTATCAAGATTCTGGAGCGAGAAAAGTTAGAGAGAGAGAGAGACAGAGGGGGGTTACTTACAGTTAATGGCGTTTTACGTGGAGGAAGAAGATGTGTGGAAATGTCCAAAACACCCCTCGAAGCGCCGGAGGAGCGGAATCTGCCCGACCTGCTTACGTGAGCGCCTCGTCACTCTCTGCCCCGACTGCGCTAACGTGCGCCCCTGCGCCTGCTGCCCCACCGACACGACGTCGTCTTCCTCGTCCTCTTCGTCCTCCTTCTCCCTCTTCTCGTCCACCCGCGGCGTCGGATCCGTCGGCCGCGTGTCGAACCTCATCGACAGCGAGCCGTCGTTCCGGCGGTCGAGTTCCGTCGGGATGTTCTTCCGATCGAGGTTCGCCGGCGGGGAGAGAGACGCCGGCGGCGCGAAGCCGCCGCTCGCGCGCAATCCGACCAAATCGTCGGCGTTCTGGTCGGTGTTCAAGACAAGGAACAGTTCGAAGAAAGGCGGCGAAGGAGTCGGAGAAGAAGATGAAGAATCGTTGAAGAAGAGCAGAATTATTGTGGAGGAGGAAGAGGAGGATGATTATTCGCGCATGATGAGGAGATCGAGATCGGTGAGTGTTCCGATTTCGTCAAATTCCGGCACCGGAAATGTCAGATCGTCGTCGAAGGGAAGGAAATGGCATTTTCCGAGTCCGATGAAAGTTTTCCGGCAAACAAAATTGTCCAAAGTCGTTCAAGAACGTTCGCCTTTGTACAGAGGTTGATTTTTGTTTTTCTTTTTTTCATAGTATTTGGTATTGAAAAAAAAAGAAGTATTTATTAGTTAAAATTTGACCAATAAAGTAACTTTTTGACAAAACTATACTATAATATAATATAATGTTACATTAAAATTATTTTTTGTTTTCTAAATATAACAAGTTGTATGGTTTGTGAAATGAATCATGAATGTAAATGTTTATTTTGGGTTTTTATTTTATTTTTTTTTCATCTATATATATAACAGTATATATATATATATGGGTGTTATATATGGTGTTTGTATATGGATACGTATAAGTTGTCAGCATTAATAATAGATGCTGTTTGATTTGGCTCTATAATTGTAAGCGTTTTTGTTGAGAATATTTATGGGTGTTTTAAGTGAATAATTGTGTCATAATTTGTGTAAATATTAGTCAATTTACATCACATTATTGGTCACATTGAAGGGACGTATTTTCTTTTTCCTCTTTTTCTCCTCCGGTAATTAAGGAACAAGGATGGGACTAAGAATGTACTTATAATAAGTCCTCTAGATATTTTTAAAAAAGTCGAAACGCAATCAAATTTATCATAAACGAGATTATAGAAAGTAAAAAAAATCTCCCAAGAATGTTTTTTGTTTTTTTTTACCAAGACAAGCAAGACCAATTTTATTAATTGATTTATACACAAACTAAAGTGAGAAATTCACAGCAAAATGGAACTCTTAGCTGTTGCACGTGGATGTGTGGGTGAAGGTTAAGGTTTGAGTTTCCTTATAAACAAATTGGGATGACATATTCGAGTCCCTTTAGAAACAAATATTTTTATATTTTATAGTGGTGAATATTCGAATTCTCTTTCTTACAAACAAATAACTCTAATAAATTCTGTTTTTAGGAAGACTAGAAAACGTTTCTTATATTTTTAATTTATTCTCATTGAGCCCGTTTGAGATTCTTCTCTACTTCTTAAAATTGTTTTTATTTTAAAAAATTAAGTTTAGATGTGTGTGGTATAAGCACTTTAAATGATTACCAAATTTAGTTCAATAAAGCGTTTGAATGAAAATATAATTTAAAAATATAACTTGGAGATTATAAAACTACTATGTTGAATATTTTTTGCAACTCTCTTTAATTAGACAATTTTATCCATTTTATTTTTTATAATGACAATTACACATATTTTTTAATAAAGTTATTATTATCAGATACGGTAACATATTGTAAGTTTAACATATTTTTAAAAATGTTTACCAAATTTATTTTTTATTGTAAATTTAACAATAAAAATGTTTTAAAAAATATGTTACTAAATAAATAAATTAATAATTTTATTATGAAAGTACTTATTATAATATGTCATTAAATACGTAACAAGTATTTATTTATTTATTTATTTATTATTATTATTATTATTATTATTTTTTGGCTCTCTGGGTTGTCATTTTAACTTCATTAATGCAACTGAGTTCATACAAGTCGATGAGTACTTTAATGTACTTAGTCTTGTTTGTATATTAGGGTTAAGATGAGACACATACACAGCAAATTTTAGTACACGTGAAAAGAACAAATATGTAGCTGAAAAGGGTTCTAATTCCCTTTTATGACCGAACATTAGAAGTGCATTATCATGTTTCTTTGCATTTGAGGAGAAAGCTTGCAATACTAAGTCTTCGGGTACACTGACACGTGGCTGCTCTCTCAATAAATATTTTATCATTTTTATTGATAATAGAGATTGTAGAGAGTTTTTAAAATAAATAAAGTATATCTATTAAGAGAGATGTCACTTAAGTTACATAAAACGATAATGGGATAATGGGATCAACAGTCACAACTTAAGAATAATAAAATTAAATCATATATATTAAGAATTTGAGCCAATATCTATGGAATATAAAAGCGAAAATATAATCAGAATATAAAAACGATACTCATTAAAAAAAATTATATAATTTAAGATACCACATTTCACCGATGCAACGGCCGCATACCACATTACAGATTCAGTAGTTTTTCAAGGTACATATACTTTTTATTACAGTAGTTTTTCAAGGTACATATACTTTTTATTACAATAGTTTTTCAACTAAAAGGAATAAGAAAAAAGAGTACTCTCTGTGGCTGTTGCCGACAAAAGAGATAGCCAAACAATTATTGCGTGACTTACGTTGAGTTTCCAGGTATGATGGAGACAGCAGTTCAAAAGGCCACTTTTTTTATTTTTATTATTTTTTATTATTATTTTGGTAATAGTGAAAGATATTTCCACCCCTGAATATTTTGAGTACCCTATGAAAATTGACACGAGGATACTCTCCCATACAACATATTCATGACGTTTACGTTAATGTTGCATTGTCAATTTAAACAATACATGATTTAAAATTGCTTTGGAGAGAATCCTAGTTAGATGTTCAAAGTATATTTTTGCATTACCATCAACCTTATTAAATGATTAGAAAGAAAAATACTAGGAAAGAACAATCTTTAGCTCTAAAAAGTATTAATTTGAAAGATATCTCTCGTCGAGTTTTTAACTGTGATTGTCTGAAATTAAGTCACACAATCTTTTTTAATGGGTGTCGTTCTTACATTCCGAACACGCTCTCGTTCTCATAAGTTCAAATTCTCACTATTTATAATTTAATTTTATCACTCTCACGATCCCGGTTTCAAATTTACTTTCACTTTAACTCTCATTTTATGTGATTTAAGTCTGAAATACCTTTGTCAAAATTTTATCTCATGCTATATAAATTTTATGTTATATAATATATTTCCTACATGCCCTTGTCAAAATTTCCGGATAATGTATTCTCTCATTACAAAAATATCAACGTCTTTTCATCATTTAACCTATTTTTGTTTGTAGAGAGAAAAAATCAAAACTTCCAATTTATTTTATGAATATTATGTGCTCATGCTGATCTAAAATGTTTGTTTTGAAAGTCTTCGTGGGCCTTTCATGAATATGAATGTCTTTTCATCATTTGAATGTTCACATCAGAGTTCCTATTCATAGCTTCCACCATTAATTCCAAGATCACATGAAAGTGAAAAAACATTGGAGTTTTTTATTTTATTTTGTTATTTTTTTATTGTATAAAAGATGAGTTTTACATTATTATTATTATTATTATTATTATTATTATATTTTTTATTTTAACAAAAAACACACACATATTTTATTTCTACGAAGACTTGACCAGCATATCTATAGAAGAAATATTTAAAAATAAATATTATCAACTTTCACTAAACTGGAGGCAAATCAAAGCATTGTTAAAAAAAAAAAAAAAAAAAAAATTCAAGTACAGATTATAATACCGTTTCTACTTTCTAGGAAATCTTTGCAGAGCAACCAAAAACTCTCTTAAATTTGTATAAAAATAAAAATTAAAATTATTACTGGGATCATTAAATAATGTGGGACGTAATGAAACCAACGTGCAACTGTTTCATGGAAGGATGTGTCCGTGGCACTAGAAAACATTATTCTGAGCTTGACCATGCACAAACGAAAGACCAAATTGTCGGCACATAGTTTGTACGCACGCTAGCTCAATATTTTTGTAGGTCCAATAAATGAAGCTACTCCAAAATCCATTTAATTATTTGTTTGGGAACTTGTGACAAGGACCAAATATATTGATGAACCATAGATTTGGAGACATGAAGGGTACTCCAAGTTTAATGTGAAGTTGAACAATTCTTCTACAAAACTTGTATAAAATGTGTTTTTAGTTCTAATTTTGGAAATAAAAAACAAAGGGAAAAAAAAAAAACTCTGTACTACTTTCTTAAATTAGTTCTAGATGTCGAACTACTCTTTGTTTTGTTTTGTTTTGTTTTTTTTTTAAAGAATTAAATCATTTACCTTTTACTTTGAAATGAGAGAAAATACAACTAGGCACCACATATCTTGATGGTAAATATATATAACACTACCCTTTACACTTTATCTAATGATTCTTTTGCAAACAAATTTTTTAATATATGAAGAAAAAAAGATTTTGTTTTGACTTTTAATAATTGTGAAATTAATTTGTATAAAAATCAATAATATCATTTTTAATTTTTTTTTTATAGAAATAATTACACTTTCCTCCCTGTAGATTGCCTAAATAACAAGGATCCCATTTAGTTTCAAATATAGCATATGTCTTTCCTCTAGTTTAAGTTTGAGTAACACTACTGTAATCAGGGATGGAAAAATACACCCGTCGAGTACCTGCCCCACCCATGCATCCCATTTAGAACAATTATGGGGTGGTTTAATGGTTTTCGAGTGGGAATGAGGGTTAGGATTGAAAACACACATGGTTTGGGACGGAGATGGGGAAAAGTCATCCCACCCTGTCCCGTTTGTATTGATAAATTACAAATTTGTCCTTATATTTTATTTTATATTCAATAATATTATGTATATATTAAGCATATCCAAGTTTATTATCTTCCAATCACTAAATATTCTTCTGTATTATTTTTATTTGAGAACTTCTATATATTATTTTGATGTTACAACAATAATTTTGGTATTATGTTTCAATTGAGACGTTGAATTTTGTTTTTATCTGGATAAGAGAAAAAAATATATATGACCATGGTTGAAAAATTATTTATTTTATTTAATTTTGTTATCCGTGTTACAATTACGAAAATATTTTATAAAACTCACTTTGGTCCCGCCCCGTTAATAAATGGTTTTGGGGTGGGGCTTGAGGTAGTTATTTTAAACGGGGACGGGAATGGCGTTCCCCACCCCAAACTACCTCATTACCATCCCTATATGTAATGAAATCTGACATTGCTGATGTCATGTTCAAGATTTATTTTAAAACTCGAGAATATCCTTACAAAGCTTGAAAATGCTAAACTAAAAATACAATAGTTTAAAAATTATTTAACGAGTCAAAGTCAATACTAATAGGGAAGGTCAGTATTATTTTTGAAATTAGAAGAGAGACTCATATTATTTAGGCAATCTACAAGGGAGCTGTAATTATCCCTTATTACTTATGGGACAAAAACAGAACTGCTTTGGCTGCTGAAAAATCCACAAGCAAATGGAAAACCATTTGATGAAGTCAAAAAAAGGTGCATTTTCAATACAACACATCGAATCCAAGCACATGCATGTGAGTAAAAAATTATTAGAAATTTGAATTTAATAAGTGGTTTACTAAAAGGGGCATTAGGGTCAGATTTGGCGCGCTATTGATCGGGTGTGTAC